TTTCGAGCTCATCATTAGAGATAACAGAGTTATCTTTGCAGGTGTATGATTGAGCTGGTCAATAATGAAATACTCGCTTTGCCTTATGAACTGGAGTAATTCGTCGGTCTCCTCCTTGGATTCTTTTCCTTCTTTTTCCTCGGTCTGTTTATTTTTCCCTTTATTCTTGGGGGCATCCTCTTGTAACTCCTTGGGGGAGTAGATCCTTCCACTTCTAGTCATGCCCCCAATGCCGGCTATATTGGAGATATCCTCCTTTATTGATGAAGATTCCCCATATCTCCACGGTACAACTTTATTTGATTCGTAGGGGAAAGGACGTGGCACAAATAGTCGCACGGGTGTCCTTGCCCCCTCTTCCTTATTGATTTTGAGAACCAATGGCCGATGCTTATTATCCTCTTGTGGTGGATCGATCGTTGGGGAGAGCTTGATTAAGAGCGGCTTTCTCTCCATTCTTCTGATTTGGAAGACGTGTCAATTAATCCTTCCTTTTTATTATCTTGTTTATTAAAAAATAAAGGAGGGGAAATTAAATTATGCAAATGAATGATATGTATGCAAGTAGACAATTGTTGAATAAGAAAAATTTTATATACTCGTAGAAAGTGTACATTCCCCTATTCCATACTACGGAGCAACTTTTGACAGAAATGGAAAAGCCTAAAGAAACCCACAGGCGGGTCTTGATCTCTATGCAATTCTCTTTCAGCTTCCCGTACGTGATGAGTGAATGCTTCGGTTTGCTTCTAGACCGCCTGACTCATATCTTCACTGTACTTTTGAGCCTCTTTGATCTTCGCTTCTTGATGGACGACCAAGGCTTGCAGCTCGTCGAGCTTTGCAAGGGCTCGGTCCTTTTCTCGCAGTACTTGACCATACTGAGCTAGCACGTCTCTTTGTTTGCAGCGTAGCTCAGTGAGACTTTTGCTAAGCCTCTGGTTAGCCTCTCGCTCTTGGCGTATTTCTGACCAAGTCCTTGTGAGATCTTGTAGCAACTCCTTGATCGTCTGAGCCTGTTTTGCACATTCGGCCTCAAGGCGTACTGATTTGGTTGTTATTTCTTGAAGTTGGCCATCCGAGCTGGTTCTAGTAGCTTTGGATGCTCGGATAGCTTGCTCATTAGAATCAGCACACTAGTCCTTGAGGCGCTCTATTTCATGATCCTTTTTCTTGCATTGCCTCTGTAAACCGTCTATGGTGAGGATAGATTCTTGCTCTCTTTCTTCAAGGGCCCTCATCTGGGCTCCCATGATTTCTATCCTCCAGGTCAAGGCATTAACTTGGGTTTGTAGCTCTTCAGTTTTTGAACGTGTAGCAAGTGAGGTGGATGGTTGCGACATCCCTCTTTTTCGTCTCCATTCCTCATAGTCACTAGAGACAACTACTCGAGCTTTTCCTAGCTCTCTATCTCCCATAAAGACTGGTTTCTCCCATGCTCTTCGCACAACCAGTGAATTAGCAACAGTGCATGGGTCTCCAAAGAAACACAGTCCTTCGAGCTCTTCTCGAGATATTGCAGTTTGGGTCCTCATGAGTTGTCTCATAGCTACTCTCGGCAAATAGGCTATGCAACCCCTGAGTCCTATCAATGGTATGCTCGGGTAATCTCCACATCTGATGAGGACTGGGCCGGGTCGAAACCAAGGGCAAACCTAGGATAATTGGTTGGCATCCCATTGTTCCAACTCGACCTTCCAATCTAAGGTCAGGCGTCGGTGGAGAGGGATTTTGGAAAAGCTTCTCAAAGGATCGGGAACATCCCCATGTGACTAGAGGCATAGAAATGTGTGATACCCCACACGAATAGTACTAAAGAGCAACATCATAGTGTTTTTCCTTGCTTCTGGCGACAAAATTCTACCGAGAGCAAGGTGTCGGCAAGAAGTGCAGGCAGGGGACTCTTCGAGTTCACGTCCCAGGCAAAGAAGGTGTCCATGACGGCTTGGTCTACTGTGTTGATATGGAAGGGAAACAAGATTGTTCCGAATATGATTAAAGCCAGGGTTTTGTTAAAAGCAGCCCTTTTAGCCAAAGAGGACAGATGGTCTTCTAACATTGAGACTTTCTAACCTTGAACATTCCCTTTCTCTATCAGGGTAGTCTGCCGGAATGGCAATCGGATGATGACAGCGACTTGTGCTACAAAAGTATATGCCCCGTGGCGAACATGGACCCCGACTGATTTGGGCCATTTTAGCATAAGTTCATACTCCTCCAAAGTGGGCACCATATCGAACTGCGGGAGTTCGAAGCAGTGCAGACTAGAGTTCTAAAAATGAAGTAGAACCCTGATAAAAATGGGATCGACACAGATCTTCAACAAGTCAAGAATCCGTTCATAGGATTTTTCAAAGTCGGAGCGGACCTCTGGTGGCATTATCGTGCAAAGCCATTCTAATTTCTCATTATGGTACCGGGGAATGTCCACTTTCTTCAATTGTCTACTAGTCCCCTCCATTTTATAAAAACCAAAATGCATGTTTTATGAACATGATGCTTATTGTGGGTATGCATGCGAGTGTTTGTTTTTTCCTATTTATCATGTTTTATTTCTACATGATGCATGATAGTATTTGCATATTTATTTTCAGAAAAATAGACTACCTATATGGATGATTTATGAATTTAATGTTTATGAACAAGGTCCCATTTATTTGATTTGGGTCTTTATTTGATTTTGTTTTGTTTTTTAGAGCTTTTTATATCTTCTGTCGGACTGCGTGGCTACTTAGCTTACAAAAAACCTGAAACCAGGCTAGCTAAAAGGCAGATTGTCCGAGATAAAATGGTTTATTGTGAAAGAATGATATTAGTATCCCTTATCTCTTCTGTCGGACTGCGTGGCTACTTAGCTTATAAAGAACCTGAAACCAGGCTAGCTAAAAGGCAGACTGTCCGAGATAAGGGTGTTTATTGTAAAAAATATTCTTCTATTTTTTTGTTTTTATCTGTTGTTTGGTTATGCTATGCAATCAAATGCAACAAACAAATGCACACGCAATTTACTCATCCGCTATTAGGTGAGAAGTCGTTTTAATCACGAGGTAGGGTTTTCCTGCAGAAAAGAGCATTGGCAAAGGTAGGTTCTAACTGTTCTCATCAAGGCTTAGGCCCCCAAGGTGCCCCTATTATAGGGTCCCCACTCTCCAGCCTTCCAACCATGCTTAGCACTAAGGCCATAGTCAGTCTTTGTGCCAAAAGAGGAAGGTTATCACCTTGAGTGGTGGTTTCCGATCATACCGGTAGGCACATGGCCCTCACTACGACAAACCGTACCTGCCACCCACTCCCTATGGATTTCTCATTTGCCCTCGGGTATAGAGGGAACTGTTGTGTGCAAAGGTTTGTGTACAGTTTGTATTTCAAACAATTGCGGTAAAATAAACAAACAACAGTTATTAAATCCAAGCAATTAAAGCATGTTATAATACAAGGTAGGGTAAAAGAGAAATTTCTAAGTTTATTTATTAATCTGGTCCATCACTAAATGGGATCAACTCTCTAGGCTTCCCTAGTGGAGTCGCCATCTGTCGCCGCCATCAAAAGAGGCGGTCGAAGCGATGCGATGGTTCCGACTTTCCATTTTTTCACGTTTTTGTGGGTGAGGTTACAATGCCTTTAGGTTGTCCGATAACCGAGCTGAACCTAAGGGCAAGGTTTTCGAAAGAGTGTTCTTAGATCGTCCGATAACCGGCCTGACCTAAGAACAAGTTTGAGGGGGTTCTTATGGAGTCGTCACCGATGTTTTTACCAGAAACATCAAAAAAGGAAATAAAAAGGCGTTGGTTTTTTAAGAAAAACCAACTTTGGTTGTTAAAACCAGAGTTGGGTAAGGGAGTTAGTTACGCGTAAGGGAGGTATTATCTCCCTTACGACGCCCCTTTCGGGTTCCCTATGATGGGTCAGTTATTTTATAAATAAACTTTTGAAATGACGCTTTTACCATTTTATTTGCGGAATTAAAAATAATGACTACATGGCCCTAGTAGCTATTGCACAATTTAATGTAAGTAAAAAGGACAATAAAAGAGAGGGAGAGAGTGAAGAAACCTCTAGAGCAAGCTTTGATTAATTCTCATAAAAAATGGGGTGCGTTTTGGCAGCCCTTTGCTCTACAACGTTGAATTCTCTGTCGAAAACGCTATAAAAACCCTCTTAAAATACTCAAAAACTTCGAAAATGCTTCGACGGGGCTCTAAAAGAAGAATTTTAAGAAATTGCAGAAGGAAAGGTGGAACAACTGTGTGAAATGAAGGGGAGAGCGCCCCCTATTTATAGGGATTTGTGCCTGTCTGGTCGAGACGGTCGTCTCGTCTGGCAAGGTCGAGACAGCGGTCTTGCCTTTCGGGACGGCGGTCTCGACTTTAACAAATGGCTAGACCGTCGTCTCGTTTGGCGAGACGGCAGTATCGACTTACCAAATGGCGAGAGGGTCGTTCCACCAAACGGGAGGGGGGTCTCGCCAAAGGCAAGTGGCGAGACGCCCGTCTCGCCAAACGAGACGGCGGTCTCGACTTGCCCTTCAGTGAGACGGCGGTCCCGAAAAGCGAGACGACGGTCTCGACCCCTTAAGGTGGAAATCCTTATTTTTTGTATAGAAAATCCTTCCTACTCTAATATGGGGCCTAATAGTCTCTCCTAGTGGTTTTTTAGGCTTTGTCCATCTTCGAATAGGAGGTCTTCTATTCTTTATTTTGAGACCGAGCAAGATTTGGGGTCTACAGGCATGGATATTACGGTGGGCATACCGACACATACACCCCATACGGTAAAAACCTATACTACTATGATGTGAACTCTCTCTATCCGTTTGTTATGAAGGAATTCCTAATGCCTGGGGGTATATCGGTCTGGCATTCTGATTTAGAATCCGTTCCATTAGATAGCATGTTTGGGTTCATGCCAACAAGAAAGGCATATTCAAAAGAGATAACAGGTAGCTAGTAGTTTCAGTTTAATCCGCTTACCATGTCTCCTCTGTAAGGTCTCTCTAGACCCTAAGTCAAACCATCGTCCTCTATAGTGCTAGAAAAGAGGATCCTCTTTCGAAGGTCAGGGCGATAGAGAGACTGGCCAAGCTCCCCAACTTCTTTAGCGGACATAGCTTCAGAAGAACTCCCCAAGGTTAAAGAAGCCCTGCTTGACCTCCTTGCACTCAACTGCTTTGGCATAGGGGTCGGGGCCCATTTTGAGGTGACTTTCTTTCTTCACGATAGGCCAGGTTAAAGCGGGATTAGATCAGCGGCGGGTAAATATAGCCTTTTGTAGCAGTACCCGACAATGGCATGAAGGAAAAATGCAACCTTGCTAGCGTCGATAATCGTTTGATACCATAGGTATTCAAAAGCGACACCGTACCAGGCAAGTTATGAGAGTTGAGCTGTCTACCAGGGAAAAGAATAAAAAAAGATTTATAGGCCCTTCATTCCTTCCCTTCTCTCTCTCCGAATCTTGCTCCCTCATTCCCCTCCATTCGGCTATCGATATTTGCGGAGTTGAAGGCTTAGGCTTAGGTCTAGGTCATCGCACCGTCTTGGAACCTTTTTTTTGAGCTTTTGACAGTTGAGTTACGGACGCTAACTAAGAAGACTACTGCATCTCGCTCTTATTATAAAAAAAACAATAAAAAAGAAGACAGGTTTCCCTGCCCTGCCCTGTCAGTCTCGAGCTCGAGGTCGTCTTTCTTGTCTCACACAAGAGAAGCCTTCTTTATACATACAGGAGTTAGATAAGCATGTAGCTTATGGCTTTATCCTATAGATATATATAGAAAAAAAGAAACGAGGATCAATCTTCATCCTTTCGCTTTTCAAAGTGAATGATCCCCTCGCTCTTAACCTTTTTGTGACCGCAATCAGAAAGATGTAAATCTTCTTGAGGTAACCTCAACTCCTTGGATTTCAACTCCTTACATAATAGGTCTAGAATAAGGCCCCAACTAGTTGGGTCAAGAGTTAACCCACGTCCTAACCAAGGGTAGGACTGACCGTGTATACATGTTTCAAAGTCTCTCTACCTTAAACATAATAGGATGGAAAGCCCAAGGAATGAAATAAGTGACTCTACCCTACGTCGAACAAGAGTTGGCTTCCTTTCTAATTCTAAAAGGCCTAGTATGCTGCCTTTCTTGGCTTGCTGCCTTAGCTAGCTCCCTTTCGTACCAATTCGTTCCCCAAGGTCTGATTCTGCCCTTAACCCAGTGCGCATGGAGATAACGAGATTAAAAAAAGATTTTCTCGATGCGAATAATAGCCCTACACCTATATCCTCAAATATTCTATTTTAGTTAGCTACTCACTCAGTCCACAAATTCAGATTAGTCAAAATAGAACTAGACAGATCAAGGAGAGAGAAGGCTCATCGATCAGTCTTAGCTACTCACTCAGTCCACAAATTCAATTTCTTTATTCAGTCAGCCAGGCAGAAGTGGAAAATCAAATAGATAGAGTAGATCCTATTCTAGATGGATTAGATAGAAACCTTACCTTAGCGTGATTCCATGCCTTACTTTCCCAATAGCGGAATCTATAGATGTTCCCATGGAGCGATAACTAGGTCTAGTACCCAAAAATGGAAGCTTATCGAAGGGAGGAGTGGAAGCTGTTGTGCTAATTCCCTGGCCAAGAGACGACTTATATCTATTGGGTCGAAGCTGAGCCATCTAAGGTCTGTCTTCCTTATCAGATCAGGTTTTCCCAGACGCGAGTCGAGTCATTCTGTGAAACCGTTGTAATCGATCGTGCACACTAATCATCCGCCGCTTATAGTAATGGCACTAAGCCAAGGTTTCTATGGATTCAGTCCTGTGGAAAAAATATAACATATATTAGGGCAATTCAGTTAGTAGTGTCACCGGTCAATCCTTGGGACACTAGCGAGTCCGTCCTTAAAAGCCCTAAAAATTGGGTCCATGAAGCCTTAGATACTCCAAGCCTCCATCTTGATTGTCCTTGAACCTAGACCATGGAAGTATGGTTATAGTCTCATTCCATTAGTGGGATCCATAGCCTATGGGTCTTTCCCAAGCTAGTAAAAGAAGAAGGTTTTTGAGGACTACCCTAAGCCTAGGGCTCTCTATCTTCTTGGGTAGATAATCAATCGTCTTTCATTTTGATAGTTAGTAGTTTTTTTAATAATAAGTCAAGAATAATAAATAAAAATCGAACTGGAGGAGCGAAAAGCCAGGATGGCTTGGTAAGCAAGCAACTTGTTATGTAGGCGCCACCCTCCGTTTATTTCTCTTCTTTCTTTTTGAATGAAAGTTCATCAAAACAATTGCTAGATCGAGCACGCAACGTGCATAGTCTTTCAAGAGCGGGTTGTCTCCTCTTCAACATTTCTACTACTTCCTTGGTGACTCTCAAATAAGCACATCCACACGTATTGCTTACCGGAAAGGATGTACTGCCTCTGGCTCGCATTCCGTCCTAGTTCCTTACCTCCTTTGGGTGGGGATAATAAGTGACTTGCTCTAATGCACCTTTTACCTAGCCCTGTCATTCTTCATTTGATATTCTTTTGTTTTGAAAGAGTTTTCTTTTTTAAGTCCATCACACAACAATTTGCTTCTCGTATCGACGAATTAGAAGAGATGTCAACCGACAACCGTATCTGGAAACAACGATTAGTGGATATTGGTACTGTCACTGCACAACAAGCAAAGGATTGGGGATTCAGTGGTGTAATGTTAAGAGGTCGTGCGACATGAAGACATTGATAGCAATATGGGGGGAGTTCCCATCAGGCAACAACGGTTTTGCCTGACCCTACTTAAGCATGCATATTATGTCAGTGAAGACTTGGTGTGAAGCCTTGGAGCTTACGTTAGAAGAGCAAAAGGCCTGGGCTAGGGTGAGCTGAGGGGGGACAACGTAAGTGAGCGAATGTGTGTAAGCCCAGTCAAACATGACTGTTCTAGGCAGGGCGGGCCACCCACCTTTGAATGGTGTTGGTCCTACGGACCGTGAATGGATTTGCCTCTGGCCTCTAGGCACATCGGAACCGCATGAGTTCACTGGGGTGGAGCACAGTCTGCCAAAATCGGCATAGGTTAGGTGCTATTGATGGAACATAGTAAGCCTATCTTTCTCCAATGTAACTCCTAAACAGAGAAGAAGGTGCGTAGCGTTCATACTCACATCTCTTCAGGGTGTGTGTGGAATAAGCCGAGGGGTGTACAAAAGAGTGTTGTTTTTCTTGGCCTTAGCCAACTGACAGGTGCGAAACTGTTAAACAATCCTAGAAACATCCTTCTTTTAAGCCCTTATATTGATCGATTCGCCTAAAAAAGTTTCACAAATTCGTTAAGGACACAACCCTAACTAATATGAAAGGCTATGGATATAGTCTACATCGGCTAGTCATAGGAAGAAGAAAAAGACCAGCGTTAGGCCTCTTCAGCTAGATTAGTAGCCCATACATAAGTACTGGGACTTAGCTTAGGACTGCAGGAAAGAGGATAGCCACTAGGCCAGCTACTAAATACACACGCACTAAGAGGTTGATTTAGAGGAAAGAAGGAAGTTTCTCTCCTTATATTCTATATGGAAAACGATTCTTTGACAACCGAAAACAAACAACTATTAGACAACCGGGGCTAAAAAGAAATTAATTAAAAATAAGGGTTTGATTAGTAAAATTGTATGGGTTTAGATATGTAATATTGTAAAAATGGGGGATGTTATAGAAGAATTGAAGGGGTCGTTCTTCCTGGCTTCCAGGCTCCTGCCTTTCCATGAGTTTGTAGAGCAAAGACGGGGCCAGTGAAATCGATACCCAGCTGCGTCACACCAAGGGCATAGACGAGAGCAGAGTAAGCGCCCAAGCAGCCAACAACATAAAAAGTTTTCGCTCCTTTCGTTTGGTTTCCCAGTAGTAGTCCCCGCCAAGAGTGAATAAGAAAGCTCTTGGCGCCTTTGTACGAGCTCATATGAGTAAAAGTAACTCAAGAGTACACTTTGCTCCTTCCAGGATTTGCAGGAGTTTACTTTCAATTGGTAAAGGTTCAACTGTCACCGTCGCTCAAGCGATTACATAGTCGCTCGAGCGCGAGGCGACCTTAGATAGCGGTTGGCAAAATAACCGCTATAATAAATGTAGTTCAGATAGCGGTTGGGCAAATAACCGCTATCTAAAGTCATAATGTATAGTTCAGATAGCGGTTGGCCAATTAACCGCTATCTAAAGTCATATATACATAACTGATCGATTATAATTGGGTAATAATCGATCATAATGCATAGTTCAGATAGCGGTTGGCCAAATAACCGCTATCTAAAGTCATATATAAAACTGATCGATTATAATTGGGTAATAATCGATCATAATGCATAGCTCAGATAGCGGTTGGCCAAATAACCGCTATCTAAAGTCATATATATCAATCTGATCGATTATAATTGGATAATAATCGATCATAATGTATAGTTCAGATAGCGGTTAGCCAAATAACCGCTATCTAAATGTTAGAAAAAGGGTCTAGTTCATTATTACATTGATTTTCGCTTTTCACATTCGCGCTCTTCGTCGCTCGACTTCTTCTCCCTCTACTTAGGGTAAAATTTCTCCATCTCGCTCTTGACGGCGCTCGACTTCCTGTCGCTTGGCTTCGTCCGTGTCGTTGGAGCTGAACATCACTGTGTGTTGCTTGAGCGACCCTGCGGTGGTGAGTGTTCGTTTAACAACATTTGCTTGATTTTGTGTGTATTTTTGATTGGGTTTCCATTGTTGTTTTCTTTTCTGTTTATCTTTGATTGGGTTTGTAATGAAGGTGTTTTTCACGGTTTAGGGTTTATTGAGTTGTGATGCTATATTAATGTCGAACAAGTGTTTGATGAAATGCTATAATGAAGAATTGTATTTGCGCATTGTTGCTTTGTTTTCTGTTTATCTTTGATTGGGTTTGTAATGAAAGTATTCTATAGGGTTTAGGGTTAATTGAGTTGTGATGCTATATTAATGTCCAACAAGTGTTTGATGAAATGCTACAATGAAGAATTGTATTTGCATGACAAACATTTTGTATAATATACATAAGATTTACACCCTCGTTTGCATAATTCACAATTTGACCAAAAGTATGTGTAACATGGTTGGACTTAATTTTTTTGTTAGTACTATTTTGTGATTGTAAGTTACAATTTTAATAATTTGTAACAGGATTAGGTTGGGAAAAAATGTCTGCAAAAAGAGACCGTCTTGACGAGGAAAAGGTATGTGCATGTTAATTATAGTTTTTTTATGAAAAGTGATTTACTAAATATTCAATTTGTTATATGTTATGTATGTTATATATGTTATACATGTTATATGTGCAGATAAGATTAAGACACAAGATTGAGACAGAGTATATAGCTGATATAAATTCAAAGTTGACCAAACACCAACGAGCAACTATTGAACAAACTCCGTTTAAATGGCTTCTTCAAATAAAAGAGCCATTGCAAATGTCAAGCAATATTATAAGAGAACTAGTTAGTCGATGGTCAGTTAGTGATCATTGTTTTAGAATAAAACAATATCTTGTCCCATTCACCCCTTTAGATGTTTGTTTTTCGTTAGGTTTACGTATAAGGGGGGAGGTAGTTGTTTTAGAAGATAGTGGTTCATGTTTAGTAAAAGATTTATTCGACGAAGAGGAACCAATAACAGTAACAAATATAGTTAGGAAGCTGAAAGGGAAAAAAATTAAGCATGTTAAATATGTAGTTGTCTTTTGTAGGCTTTATATCCTACTTGGGTGGGCGGTTTTTTACTTTCCTCGCACATCCCGCACTGTTCATAGTGTTCCTTTTAGTTTATTAGATGATTTAGAGGCATTAGATAATTATAATTGGGGAAATGTTGTGCACGGTTTATTAGTTAATAGTTTGCATCGTGCTAGTAGAAAGTTAAACGAGGAAAAAAATGCTTCTCAATTGTACGTTGCTGGTTGTGTGGCTGTCTTACAGGTAACTTTCTTACAAATGATTGATTTATTAGTTGATATGAAATTATTGTGACTGATGACATTTTATTATGTAATAGATCCGGGCAGTGGAGCACCTGTCTTTGCCTACTGATCCACCACGAAAGATTTGTTTTCCGCGTTTTGTTGAATGGCCTAAAGTGAACATTCGAAGGTCCAAAATAGAACGTGTATTCATCTCAAACAATGTAAGAAATTTTGTGTACAACATATATAAATTTTCCTTAAAAATGTGGACTTATTATATTATGTTCCTAACATATAAAGTTTTCCTTTATATGTTAGATTGTATGGGATTGGGCACTGTCTCGTGGATGATCGGACAATGAAAGTTGTGCAAGAAGCTTTGACGCATTCACAAATTGAGAATACGGACATACCTTCCTCCAGTGGTGTGTCATGTGACTTGCAACAACTTTTATCGGACCAACAGCATATGGAGATCTAAAACGAAGAAAATCAAAAAAGGATCATTCAACTTGAACGTGAAGTTAAAATTTTGAAAGAACAAATCGGGATTCACATGAATAAGTCATCGATAAAGGTGAAGGGGATTGGTGAGGATGATGACATGTATCAATTTTATAAGTTTTGCACCACCAACCTTGATAATCCAAACCGGTTAGTATAAAATCAAATTTATTACATTCATTCAATTTAATTAGTATAAAATGCAATGTAATCCATTATTGTATTTCAGTGTTGTAGTGGAAGTGCATGGGCAGATATTGACTATGCAGAACTTGCACACATTAAAGCCAAGGGGTCATATTGACAATATGGTAAGTTTGTTTATTTAATGAAAAAGTGTGATTCAATATATTTTTAAAAATTATATTTATTAATATCATATGGGTTGTTAGGTGATGTTGTTTGCAAGTAGTCTAATGATGTATGACCAAATGAATGTCACTCGGTGGCAGCATTCAACGTTTTTGTTTCAATCCTTTGTTTGCGGTATGTTTATTGTGCATTTAAAAAGTTAAGTTACACATAGGTTTATTATCATTGATTGTCATTTATTTTTGTGCCTTTTGATAGACACAAGTGATTGAACAAATGTATATTCGCAAAGGGAACACATCGACGTGGACAATGAAAGACTTCTCACTTTTCTATCCAAATACAATTATTCCATTGCAGCAGCTTATTAAGTTGTGAATTTGTGAGTATTTATACTTTGCCTTAAATTTATATATTTGTCAAGATAAAATTCAATTAACCAGAGTTTTTTCTATTTCGGATTTTTGCTCCCACTCGTACACAATGGTCATTGGTGGTGTTATGTGCTGAAATGTAAGGATAGAGAACTGTTTATATTAGATTTGTTGGGCCATCATAATAGATCACGAAAACCAATTGATAGAGCTATGGTAAATATTTGTTTTAAGTTGTTTACGTAGGTAATATTGTTAATTCAGAGCTATGTTTATTTGGTGAATAATGTAATATTGTGAACAGTTGCAATGTTTTGAACATCTATTGTCGTTGTTGGAAACAAAGTCATCGAGGACCACTGGTGAACTTAAGGTTACAAAGGAGGACTTGCCAATACAACCAAACATGTTAGTATGTTATTATAGTTGAAATTTTGTTTGCAAAATGTTGTATGTAACGTGTGTAATAACTACATTCAATTGTGCAGATATGATTGTGGATTGTTTGTTTTAAAATATATGGAGTTGTGGGATGGTGTGAGCAAAGTGAATGGGAGAATCATGCCTCATTACACATCGGTAAACATTAAAGTCATTGTATTATTGTTTTGTTTTTTATTACTATGAATACAATTTATTATGACATTCTTCATATTGTACAGGAGCAACTTCAGAAATTTCGAGAAGAATATGTATGCAGATGGGTACTTCATCCTGAAAATCTCCATCGACAAGTCATGGTTACTGAATCAGGAGTTAACATCCTCATGTAGGAGTACAAATTTAGATATTGTATTTGATTCTTTGTTCATCTTCATTGATGAATGTTGTACAGTTTAATCATATGTAATATAACTGTTAAGTTGGTTATGGATCATTTAAATGTTAAATATTATGACATTATAAATATTGTCTACAAAGTACATGTAATTAC